TAACCGATTCTTCTTCCGTTTGCTAAGAAAAAGACAAATTATTCCTAACTTCAATACTTGTTGGTGCTGACAACTTACAGGGGGAGAAACCTCACATCACACTGCATTAGGAAATGGAGCCTTTGATTTAAAAAAAAAAAGATCTTGAAAACAAATGTGAATTCTAAGATCATGGCATTTTTTTTCCATTTATTCTTATTAGTTGGAGGCTAATTACTTTACATCATTGCAGTGGTTTTTGTCATACATTGAAATGAATTAGCCATGGATTTACATGTATTCCCCATCCCAGTCCCCCCTCCCACCTCCCTCTCCACCCGATCCCTCTGGGTCTTCCCAGTGCACCAGGCCCGAGCACTTGTCTCATGCATCCAACCTGGGCTGGTGATCTGTTTCACCCTAGATAATATACATGTTTCGATGCTGTTCTCTTGAAACATCCCACCCTCGCCTTCTCCCAGAGTCCACAAGTCTGTTCTATACATCTGAGTCTCTTTTTCTGTTTTGCATATAGGGTTATCGTTACCATCTTTCTAAATTCCATATATATGTGTTAGTATACTGTAATGGTCTTTATCTTTCTGGCTTACTTCACTCTGTATAATGGGCTCCAGTTTCATCCATCTCATTAGAACTGATTCAAATGAATTCTTTTTAATGGCTGAGTAATATTCCATGGTGTATATGTACCACAGCTTCCTCATCCATTCGTCTGCTGATGGGCATCTAGGTTGCTTCCATGTCCTGGCTATTATAAACAGTGCTGCGATGAACATTGGGGTGCACGTGTCTCTTTCAGATCTGGTTTCCTCGGTGTGTATGCCCAGAAGTGGGATTGCTGGGTCATATGGCAGTTCTATTTCCAGCTTTTTAAGAAATCTCCACACTGTTTTCCATAGTGGCTGTACTAGTTTGCATTCCCACCAACAGTGTAAGAGGGTTCCCTTTTCTCCACACCCTCTCCAGCATTTATTGCTTGTAGACTTTTGGATAGCAGCCATCCTGACTGGCGTGTAATGGTACCTCATTGTGGTTTTGATTTGCATTTCTCTGATAATGAGTGATGTTGAGCATCTTTTCATGTGTTTGTTAGCCATCTGTATGTCTTCCTTGGAGAAATGTCTGTTTAGTTCTTTGGCCCATTTTTTGATTGGGTCATTTATTTTTCTGGAGTTGAGCTGGAGGAGTTGCTTGTATATTTTTGAGATTAATCCTTTGTCTGTTGCTTCGTTTGCTATTATTTTCTCCCAATCTGAGGGCTGTCTTTTCACCTTGCTTATAGTTTCCTTTGTTGTGCAAAAGCTTTTAAGTTTCATTAGGTCCCATTTGTTTATTTTTGCTTTTGTTTCTAAAATTCTGGGATGTGGGTCATAGAGGATCCTGCTGTGATTTATGTCGGAGAGTGTTTTGCCTATGTTCTCCTCTAGGAGTTTTATAGTTTCTGGTCTTACATTTAGTAAGATCATGGCATTGTAAATGGAGTGGAACGATATTGAGACTGTCATCATGAATAGTTATAAATAGTTATAAATAATAAAAGGTGGGAGGAAGCTGAAGAGACCAACTTGGCTTTCCCTTACTGAACTTTGGAAATTTCATATTTTAAATAGACAAGTCCAGGTAATGGAAGGTCAGGCACTTTGCCAAAGGTGAATACACAGAAGCAGCATAAAACCATAAGAACGGTGTGGAGAAGGCCCGAGGCCAGAGTAAACTGAGGTTTGGAAAAATGTAAAGAAAAACCCCAAACTGTTTAAGTTTTTAATTACATATTTAATACCAAAGTAAGGAAGGGTAGTAGATCTGCAGCATAGAGAACTTTGTGTCATTTTACTGAGAAATGAGAGCTTCTTAGCTCTTATTTTGTTTCATCCTTACATAGCAGGCAGATGAACCTGTCTTACAATAAGAAAGAATAGACCATATATTATAATGATTTAAGCCTGTAGTAGGAAAGAACAGTAGTGTACATCTGACAGCTAAGAATAAGATGCAGGTGAATTGCTTCCTAGCATTGCGGAGCTCCTTGAGAGATTCTCAAAGGTGCAGGTCTTAGGGCAATGTTTTTCAATGTGTTTTTCATTATTGCACACTTAAGGACATTTTCCCCTGATTGTCTCTCCCCAATTCTGTGAAATTTTAATACATAAGTATATTGTAATTTATCTGTTAATGCAGAGCTTCCCATTGTGGGTAACTAGCTATGGTATTGGGTTGGCCAAAAAGTTGGTTTGGGTTTTTCCATAAGATGATATAGAAAACCTGAATTAGCTTTTTGGCCAACCTAGTAATATCAATAGTTAAGAATTGTTCCCAAGTCGTCCTCCAGGAGCCGAGTGTTGCCCCCACGCACGGTGTAGAGGCTTCATAGAGAATAGGAGTGAGGCTAAGCATCTCCACTTGGGTGATGAATCTGCTGATTTGCACATGTTAGAAGCACTTGCTTTGTGGAAATTATAAATTGCTTTAGCGTGGCCTGTCTACTTCCCTGGTGGCTCAGATGATAAAGTGTCTGCCTACAGTGCGGGACACCCAGGTTCGATCCCCGGGTTGGGAAGATCCTCTGGAGAAGGAAATGGCAGCCCACTGCAGTACTCTTGCCTGGAAAACCCCATGGACAGAGGAGCGTCGTAGGCTACAGTCCATGGGGTCACAAGGAGTTGGACATGACTGAGCGATTTCACTTTCCTAGCGTGGCCTTAGTATGTGATACACCAAGCAGTCTGCCCAATACCTTTCCTTAATCTTCCTACCATGATTAAGAAAATCAGAAATTTATCTTTATTTTTGTTCTAATAATTAAATACTAACTTTCTGGGGGAGAGTAGGGGCAATCACCCTAGCAAGATTATGCTGTTGGTGGGGGGCATGGAGGGAAACACAGCTTTAGTACCTAGACAAATGTTCTTAGTTTGATTTTTGAATTCTTTCATGACCTTCCTGGATGACTAAACAAAGTTTAATGAGTATAAGAATATCCAACACATACAAAAGACTATGTTTTTTATATGCATACACAGATGCTGTGCTGTGCTGAATCACTCTTTGTGACCCCAGGGACTGTAGCCCGCTAGACTTCTCTGTCCATGGGATTTCCTAGGCAAGAATACTGGAGTGGGTTGCCATTTCCTCCTCAGGGGATCTTCCCAACCCAGGGATCAAACCTGCGTCTCTTGTGCCTCCTGCATTGGCAGGCGGATTCTTTACTGCTGTGCCACCTGGGAANTCAACATTTTTCTTTTTTAAAATATTTTATTTATTTATTTGGCTGTGCCTGGTCTAATATGGGATCTTCAATCTTTGTGGTGGCATGAAGGATCTTTAGTTGTAGCATGTGGGATCTAGTTCCCTGATCAGGGATTGAACCCAGGCCTCCTGCATTGGAAGCACAGAACCTCAGCCACTGGACTACCAGGGAAGTCCCTTTTTTCAACTTTTTGTTTTGAAAATTATCAACCTATGCAAAAATGAGAAGGATTGTACATTGAGCAGCTGCATTCACCCAGATTCACCACTTACTAATATTTGCACAGCTGTTCTTGCTTTCTCTGTAGAACGAGAGTAGAACAGAAAGTAAGCGGCAGACATCATAATACTTCATATGTAAATTCTTCAGCAGGTGTCTCTCCCGAATAACATAATTTTTTTCTTTTTAACATCATTTTCTGATGTAACGACAATACTGTGATCACATGTAAGAAAATGGATGTTAATTTAACAGCATAACTTAATATACGGTCCATTTCCGAATGTTCCCCAAGTTGAAATGTGCGTCGTATATTAGATTATGTTATTGACTTATTATTAATGGGCTTCCCTGGTGCCTCAGACTGTAGAGTCTGCCTGCAGTGCAGGATACCCGGGTTAGATTCCTGGGTCAGCAAGATCCCCTGGAGAAGGGAATGGCAACCCACTCCAGTATTCTTGCCTGGAGAATCCCATGGACAGAGGAGCCTGGTGGGCTGTAGTCCACGGGGTCGCAAAGAGTCGGACATGGCTGAGTGACTAACACTTTCAGTTTTTACTAGGGACTTGTCTACCAGCCCAGTGGTTAAGACTCAGCACTCCCAATGGAGGGTACACAGGTTGAGTTCCTGGTTGGGGAGCTAAGATCCCCAAATGCCATGTGCCCAAAAATTTAATGTGTGTGTGTGTGTGTGTGTGTGTGTGTGTGTGTATATATGTAGTAGACTTAGAAGGATATTATACAGAAGAGTCTTCTATTCCCAGAAGAGTTGGTGTTGAATAGATGTAAATTTTAAAGGAGTCATTTAAATCTACATCGGACATCCTAACTGTGAAGTTTGAGAGATCTCACAATCCAGTGCCAACTTAAGTCATAGTTTAAAAATTTTTTCAAGGTTATGATACTCATAAATTGTCTGAGATGATTTGGTCCTATCACCTTTCAGAACAAAAGAGTTGGGGTGTAACATCGTGACAAAGTAAGGGTAGTAGTTGTTCATATCACCCTTGAAAAACACTTTTGTTCCTTTGATAACACAGTTATCTGTTCAAGCATTCTTATAAGCTTTTTTTTTTTTTTGGGCCTTACTGCGTGGCTTATGGGATCTTGTTTTTCCAACTAGTGGTCTGAGCCAGGTTCATGGCAGTGAAAGCCCAAGCCTTAACCACTGGACCCCCCACCCCCACCCCCAGGGAATTCCCGTTTCTTATTAGCTTTTAAGTGTGGGATTATGTGACTCTTCGTGATGTAATAAACCCTATTTTAACATTAGATAATAATGGTTTTATTGTAAAACAGTGTCAAAATTGAGCAGATGTAGGTATGAATGTATATATGTGTATATGTATATATGCATGTGTGTGTATGTGTGTATATGTGCATGTATATATATACATGTACATTGTATATACATTTTTAACTTAATGTACTGTCTGCATTGGTTGCTTGGAGGTTTATGTTCTATGTAGTAGTCTGATTTGCATTTCATTTTACCTTTTTTTCCACTTCATTATTTTTTTTTTCCACTTTAAAGTCTCAGACTCTCTGGCTCAATCAGTAATTCAGCATCTAAGATGGATAATGCAGAAGGATCTTTTGGGGCAAGACGTCTTTCTAATAGGACCTCCTGGGCCTCTTCGGCGCTCTATTGCTATGCAGTACCTGGTAAGCAACGAATTCTTGTGGATTCCTGAGGGTCTTAACTTTGATAAACTGTTTTGTGAAATAAATTAAGAATTTACAGAAATCTCAGGTTTAGTCCTTCCTTTAAAAATGTTGACATTGAGGGGTGATTGTTTGTAAAGCATTTGGAATAAATTATTCGGGAAATCAATGTATGTTTGCCTTTCATAGCTTTAGTAAATGTTTTCTCCAAGTAGAAAACCCTCCACTTCTAGTAGGAAAGAGATCCATCTAAATTCAAGCAGTGAGTAGTTGCAAACAGGATCAGCAACTCTGAGGTTAGAAAACAAAAGTGTAGTTTTATTCTTCTCAAGAAACATTCTTTTATCTTTGGTCCACATTTTGAAAAGCCAAATAATTCTTCTGACTTTTGATGTTATATGGTCTCTAAAGGGAGCCTAAGGATTACAGAATCTCTTACGTGTTTTGTGCACTCTTTTTTTTCTTTAAATAGATGAGAAAACAAGTTCACAGAGATTAGATAACTCACTCAGGCTTTATCCAGCAAGTCAGTGATGGAGCTAGACTTCAGATCTCATATTGCTTTTCCTTTCTGATACGATATCCTCTTAAATGTTTGCAGTTCTCTGAGTTGAGTTGAAATATTCAAATCTCAACCGAAATAAAAAAAAAATTTGCAGGACTTATTTCTACTACTTTGTCAGCATTAATAGGCATTGCTGTAATGATTGAAGGATGAACCCTCTCAGATGAAGTTGGTCTGTTCCAAAGATAATTTTTAGGATGAAGAGAAAAACCTTACTTAAAGCTTCCTTTTGTTATTTGATATTAAATCATCGATTTCTAATTTATTGAGATATACTTCATGTACTCTTTTATTTTAGTGGTGAGTTTATCTTGGTACTTTCAAAATTATGTAGGGCTGTAATGATGAAAATACCATGAACAGAACCTAACTCTGTCTAGCTCATAAATTTCATATCCCTTATTTGTTCCCTAGAATCAGTTTGTGAGGTGCAGTGTGCCATTGTATTATTATCGTCGCTTTATTAATACACAATGCAAAAGTCTATTTGTCTTGTCTGAGAATGCAGAGTCACCCACCGAGATTCCCAGGTCTAGACCTCTTTAGTTTTAAATTGTGCACTCTACCTGGCTCATTTCAAAGGCAACAATATCTCACTTTGATTTTGTTTCTGACAAGTCTTTGAAGCTTGTTCGAAATGTGGAGTAGCCAGGCTAGGAGAGTATAGGAATCCTGTTGGCTGAAAAACACAGTTCAAGTTTATAAGTATAAACCTTGTATCTTAAAAAAACAACCACCACCAAACTTTCAATTGTCAGAGCTGAGGCAGCTTCAGGATTTGGAAATACATGTAAGAAAACTTACTAGCCTAAGCTGCCTTGCAAACTCTGTAGTGGGTACTATTGCCAGTATATATAAAGACCCTGTGTATAGTAATAGCCAGCATAGTGGTGGTATTCAGTTGCTCAGTTATGTCCAACTCTGCAGCCCCATGGACTGCAGCATGCCAGGCTTCCTTGTCCTTCACCATCTCCTGGAGCTCGCTCAAACTCATGTCCATCGAGTCGGCAATGCCATCCAACTATCTCATCTTCTGTTGTCCCCTTCTCCTCCTGCCTTCAGTCTTTTCCCAGCATCAGGTCTTTTCTAAAGCCTTTGACTGAGTGGATCACAAAAAACTGAAAAATTCTTGGAGAGATGGGAATACCAGATCACCTTACCTGCCTCCTGCGAAACCTGGATGCAGGTCAAGAAGCAACAGTTGGAACCGGATATGGAACAATGGATTGGTTCAATAGCCAGTGTAGATGACATCTCTAAAGGCAGAAATCTGGGGGCAAGCCTGTTGAATCAATGAGAAATTAAAAGGAAATAACTGAAAACTTGTGTTTATTTCGTATTTCACTCATATAATAGGAGTTTTGTAGACAGTTTAAAATAAGGCAGCAGACCTCTGCCGCCGTCCCCATCTGCTGCTCCAGGTGCTGACTGTGAGCTTGCTGGTGCCACTTCCGTGGATCGACAGCTGGGGACACCTTGGTCTCATCTTTGCGCGAAAAGTCCCGGGAAACTGTCAAGACTGAGGATAACAGCCTTGCTGTGACAGTTCAGGGTGCTACTGTGATACAGCTTAATAGTCAGAGGCACACGGCATTTGGTCAACCACTGTGAGTGCCAGGGGTGTTCAGCGAGGGAGATCACAGTCAGTCAGTCAGTGAAACAAGACAGGAAGGCGCTGCAGGGCGTTCCAGAAGCCAGGAGGGGTCTGCTGAAGCAGGACCTGCCACTTTACTCCAGAACTGTGCTCTCACAGGCGGTTCATTTAGAGAAACATCGTTTGGTTTCAGCACATCTTTGCCACTTTGGTGTACATTTTCTCTTTTTAAAACTTTCCCCTTCTTTCCACATATTCTAAAACTTATGAGTGCATGGGAACAGGCACATTTTAAAAGACTGAGTGACAATAATAATGTATTTTTATCAACATCACATGGAGATAAGGTCAATTAGAAAAAATCCCATTTAAAGAAAAATCCCCTTTCACCACTAATGGCATACTCATTCGACTTTTTTCTTTTGTACTCCTCCAGTCAATTAATTTGTTCTTCCTGTTTAATAAAAACATATTACATGCCTTATTGGATTGGAGAATGCCATTGTTTTTAATTCAACATTGTAAAACCAAGGATAATGTTAAAAACTTTTTATACCTTGTTGTTATATATAAGGAAAAATGAATTTAGGGATAGATTAATTATTCTAAGAGAAATAGATTCTGGGTGGTTTCTTCTTCAAACCAAATGGTTTTTTTTCCTGTGTAAAATAATAATCTCCATACCCCTTTCCTGCTTTTCATCTTTCCTCTCCTTTTTCCTTCATAATTAGTTCTATATTGTCTCTTTTTTTGTTGAACCACTTATTGATATTTACCTTATTTTCACACTTGTTAAATGCTTAACATATACATGGTAGGTAATCATTGGTTTATAGAGTAAATTAATTTAAAGCACCCTTAAAAAAAGATGAACATTATTTACAGAGATAACTGTCATTTATGTGAAAATCAAGTAATAGCCAAATTATTACTCTTGATATTTGAAAAGAACTCTACAGGAGATATTAAGATTTGTAAGATCACATTTTGATTATTATTGCCTAAGTAGTCAGTAATTAAGCTATAGATTATTGAGTACAGTAAAAGTTCTGAGGAGAGATACATATTTTGATTAATGTTCAATTTATTACATTTTTCTTAAAGCTGAGGCTCAGAAGGCTTTCATTTAGAATTACATTTATTAATAAAATGCTCTTCTGTAGAGTGACATTGTCAGGGTACCTGCCTCCAAAGCATATGTTGGGAACTTGATTTTATCTTGGAAAATTGGTTTTATCTTGGGACCATTTCACTCTCTTCAGGAGCTGACCAAAAGGGAGGTTGAATACATTGCTTTGTCAAGAGACACCACCGAAACTGACCTCAAACAGCGGCGAGAGATCCGCGCGGGCACAGCTTTTTACATCGACCAGGCAAGTGCTTATCACACTCCCACACGTGACTGTTCACTCCCGGTCTTTAAGAAATTGATTTTTAAAGTAGGAAAAGAGTAGCTCATGTACTAGCGAAAGACAGATGTACCATGCCCTCTCTAGACAGATTTAATTTAGGTTTTTGGTTTCCCTGTTCTTGGAAATGCCTTGTTTAGTATGAAATAAAAAGCCATAGTTGAAACAAGTGGTTCTAAAATGTTAACTAAAGATTCATATGCTGATTTCTTAATTTACAGTTGCTTCCTATTAACTTCCTATAAAAATTTGAGTTTTAAAAAAAGAAGCATTGAGATTTCAATATAGCAAATTCTCTAGCACATTTACTAAAATATTCTAAATCTAAAGGTGAAGTACATAAAGATATATTAAGTATAGTAAAATTAGATTCATAATTCCAGGAACTACAGCTTTTTGAAGAGAGTGCAGCTTATCAATTAAAATAATGTTTTTTGAATATTATATTGAAGCTTGTGGGTGCATGCATACTCAGTCATGTCAGACTCCTTGCGACCCCATAGACTGAAGCTGACCAGGCTCATCTGTCCATGGAATTTTCCAGGCAAGAATTGAAGTGGCTTGCCATTTCCTGCTCCCAGGGATCTTCCTGATCCAGGGATCAAACCCATGTCTCCTGTGTCTGCTGCATTGGCAGGCAGATTCTTAACCACTGAACAGACTCTTTACCACTGAGCCCCTGGAAACCCCTATAACAAAACTCGTACATTTCTTAAAATATTTTACTTAAAATATTAAACATTGTTCTTTGTCAGGAATGCCTAAGAGAAAAAAGGGCAGAGACTTCAAGCATTTCATAGAGAAAAGATTCAGATGTTCAATAAATTCATGACGAGGTGCTTGAACTTTTTGTTTATAAAAATGAACATTAAAAGAGTAGTGAATGGCTCTTTTTCTTTCACCTCAGAATCTGCTAATGTTCGTTGTTGATGAGGAAGAAGGGGTGAGGAATCAGCATTGCTGTTAATGGGACCATGGATTGATGTAATTATAAAGGAAAATTTGGTGATTATCTATCGAAAGAAAAAAATTAAACACATTTGTATCCAGCAGTAATTTTTCTAGCAATTTCTCTTTCCAATGTTATTCACACAAAGCACGAAGACATATATACTAGGCTGTTTATTGTAGCACTGTTTGATAAATGACATAAAACTTTGTGAAAACTATAATGATGTATGTTTAAGAGACTAATTAAATAAATCATGGTAGCTAGAATTATCTGTCACCGTTAAAAAAAGTGAGATGAATATTTATGAGTTGATAGAAGTCCAGAATATATTAACTGAAAAAAAATGAATTTGCAAGACAGTTTATATAATATGATTCCATTTGTGATTTAAAAAAAGAGAAAAAAATACATAAATGTTTGTTTACTCATTGAAAATTTCCAGAAGGAAACACAAGAATCAGTTAACAGAGCTTACCTCTGTGGAGGTGTGGTCAGGCATCTGGGGTAGGGCAAAGAATAAGCTTCATAGTTCTTTAAATTTGAAGCTTTATTTTAAAGACAGTTTAAAACTGGCTAAGCAGAAATCTCAGAAATTGAGTTGCTTTAGGTAACTAAATTTATTGGTTAGCTAAAGATTTATATCTTGAAGCATAATATAAATTGTTTAGATGAAACTCTGACATTGTATTCTCCCAACCATTCTAGAAAGCAAATTTTTAATTTATATCTATTTACCACTTATAAAATATTTAAAATGATATATGTATTTATAGTAGTATTCTATACTTTCATGTTTTTTCTTTTTTATTAATCCAACTGATTTTGATAAGCATCAGCTGTTTATGATGCTGTAATACACTGGCACCTTCAGAGTCTGTGATGAAGATATAAGGACATTAGTCCTTTCTCTGAGTTGCTTCAGACTGTCTATTGAGATTTTATCTGAGTTTCATATTTTTTCTTCTCTCTCACTTCCTGGCAGTTAATATTCCTTATTGTTTGTTCACAACCAGATCCTATCAGTTCCTTGCTTAAAGCAGTTTGGTCCTGTCACACCCAGAATAAAATCCAGACCCTTGAACATGGCCACCACACTCTACAGGACCCAGCCTTGTCAACTTCATCTCCTTTCTTCTTTCCCTTGCTTGCTAGGGTCCAGCCACATTGACCTTGTCCTCTTAAAAATAGACCAAGTTCTTTCCAGCCCCAGAACCTTTGTACTTGTTATTTCCTCTGCTTGGGATGACCTTCTCTCAGATCTGTATATTCCTGCCTCCTCTTAATTCTGATGATAAACTCTCAGAACTTTCTATAATCACTCATCACACTTAAACCCTTCCGCATGAACCCTGTTGTCATATACATAAGGTAATCTTCAGAGCACCTATCGCTCTCTGAGTTTGCCTAATTAATTTCCTTGTTTTCATGTTTATTATCTGTCTTCTCCACTAGAATGTAATTATTTTGCTTATCTCTGGCACCTAAAAACAGTTGTGGTGGTTTACCTCCTAAGTTGTGTCTGACTCTTTGCGACTCCATAGACTGTATGTAGCCTGCCACGCTCCACAGTCCATGGGATTTCCCAGGCAAGAATACTGGAGTGGGTTGCCAGTTCCTTCTCCAGTATTCTTCCTGACCCAGGGATCGAACCCACTTCTCCTTCATTGCCAGGCAGATTCTTTACACTAATAACACCTTGGAAGTTCATCATGCCTATGTTCATATCTATCTAATCATGTATAGTAATTTTGACAAAGATGGTATACCATGCATATAAAGTTTTACAGGTTGCTTTTCTTAAAACTTGATTTTTTTCAGGAGCATTTTCCTGTGACAAAAATATGACTTTTAGTGTCTGTACAGTATTTCATCAAATAGATGTGACATTATTTATTTAACATTCCCACTTTATCTACATTTCCATATTGTTGATCATTCAGGTTTTGTCTAAGTTTTCACTGTTATAAATTTCACTGTTGTAATTATATAATTATTATATTACTGTTATAATTTCACTGTTAGAAATAACTCTAGGTGAATATCTCTCCACTTAGATCTTATTATCTTGGATGATTTTTTTAAACTTGAATGCTGGAAGTATAATTAAAGGGTATAGACATTTTCAAGAGTCTTGATATACATATGTCACAAAATTGCTTTCTAGAAAAGGTGTTCCAACTCATGCTGTCATCCGTATGCACTGAGTAATTGTCTCATGGATTCTTGTCAATATTGAGTATTTCCATGTATGTATGTTGCCAAATCAATAGAGTTTAATTTGTCTTAAGAAGTACTAACTAGATTAAATCATTTTTATTTTTATTGGTTATTGCTTCTGTAAGATGTCAATAAATTGAGTGGATATGGAAAAGGAGAGAGAGACTGATGAAATAAGTTATGATCTGCCAAGAAAATGTTGATGTTTACACCATGTTTGTTTATGTAAATACTATAACATACTCACTTGTTAATGTGAAGGTAATACATATTTTTAATGCAAATGCTTTGCTGAACGGGTTATAGGAACTTTTTGAAAAGAAAAACAAGCTAAAGAACAGAAATATGAAAATTTATATGGCTGATATTATAACTTATGGGGAAATAGAGTTTAAGAGTTTTTACTACCACAATAACTTTCATTTGTCTTAGAAGATAAAATAACCCAAAAAAGATGAAATTTTTTGATATTCTTACTCTTCAAAAACCTATTACTCTCCTTTTTTTTCTTACTTTACTTGACATTCTTATCGTGAATTCTGCTTATTGTCCTGTGACTCCAAAGAGCTGGAGAGGAAGACTTTTAAGTCATTATAAATTGCTTGCATTTCTCAAATATTACAAATAACTTGTGATTAGGTTTTTATGTCTGGCTGATGGGTGACACTCTATATAGCCATAACTGGGGGAATAGAAAGCCAGGATGGGAAACTTCAAATGATTTTTTTTTTACCTTTTTCCAAACCATCAACTCATCACATTAGAATCTTGTTACTTTGACATGATAATGTCAAGTTCCTTAATATACAATATACATATTTAATGTTACATATAAAATGCACTTTAAACAGTTACATAATATTTTAATGTATTCTCCTCTGTTTTGAATAATTCTTGATTCTCTCTTATTAGTAGAAAAAGTAAGGATTAACTCCTTTAATACACTGCTTAAATATTACAGATCACCAAAAGTAACTCGTAATATATTGAATAACAGTGCTATTGATCGAAAAATGAGATTTTTATCTTGGATAATCACCTTTTGCTTATTTTAGCAAATAAGGAAAAACAGTTGCTTGCTTTCTGAGAATGACTGAGTTCTGGTACCGGCTCCAAATCCCTCGCAGCCGTCTTGTTCTCGGCTCACCTCATGCTCAGTCGTGTCTGACTCTTTGTGACCCCGTGGACTGTAGCCCACCAGGCTCCTCTGTCCATATGTCCTGATTGTCACTTGCACAGTTGGAGAAGGTCTGTGTTTACTCTGACCTCTGTATTAGAACTCAGGCCTTGGCCTCTTCATATTGCCATCTTGCTCAGGCCAACTCTTAGCTATGTGTATGTTAACTGTTGGACAGATTTATTTAAATTCAGTTAAGAAGAATCAAGGGAGATAAAAATAACTTTCATTGAGGAGACCGCTGTTGTGCTAGGCACTTTTTATATGACTGCATTTAATCCTCAAAACATCCTTAGGATGGAGTTGACTTCCATACTTATAGGTGAAGTAAGAGTCTTACCAGTTGTATCATAAACAAAGCAGTGGTAGAATTTGAACCAGGATTTGTCTGGTTCTTAAGTTTAGCTTCTTTCTCTCATATGCTACTTCTCTTAAAAAAGCAGTGATGATCATGAAGATGCTGCTGCTGCTGATGTTGGTAATGACAATAACAACAACTACTACAAGGGTAATAGTATTAGTAATAATAACAGCTATTTATTTTTTAAGAAAGTAACATGAAAAAAAAATTTTAAGGTTTATTTATTTGTTTATTTTGGCTGGGTTTTCATTGCTGCATGCAGAATTTCTCTAGTTCCGGAGCGCACGGTCTACTCTTGGTTGCGATTACGTGGTCTTGTTGTGGTCGCCTCTCTTGTTGCAGCGCACGGGCTGTAGTGCCCTGGCTTCAGTAGCTGCAGCACGTGGGCTTAGCAGCTGTGGCCTGTGGGCTCTGTTGCTCCACGGCATGTGGGGTCTCCCCACCAGGCATTAAACCGGTGTCTCTTGCATGGCAAGACAGAATCTTAACCACTGGACCACCAGGGAAGCCCCGTAATCTTGTTTTTTTTTTCAGGTTTACTGTGTGTCAGAGGTTATCTTCCTTAATCTTTATCTTAATCTTTGAGATAAGCACCATCACTAGTATAGCTTTAGAGAGAAATGGAGGCTTACAGAGGAACCTGAGTAACCTTAATCATCCATAGCAGGTGGTAGAAGATCCTATTTTGATCATTTTAAATAAAGAAGTTGAAACAGAAATTTTTTTTCCCTTTGGCTTCTTCAGTGACATTACACTGTAGCCATTTTGAGTGTCTGAAACTCTTTAGAATCTATTTTCATTAGATCATGGCTATGTTAATAATAATTGATATTTTAACAGGCTTGACAGCTTTAAATTTTTTTCTAGTACTGCCTTGATTCATAAATCGTGACATCGTACAGCACCCCTTGAGGATATTCTCATTTAGTAAATGAGGACACAGACATCCAGATTAATTGTTTGCCTCAGGTCATTCATCAAATCAGAAGCAAATCTAGAACAGGGCTTAGACAGTTTTTGATTTTAGGTCATGCAGCTGCTTTTATCTTGAAATACTTTGTGTCCATGTACTAGGTTGTTAAAGCTGCTATATGGGATGGTTTTGTCCGGAAGGATCTTTATGCATTTTTTTCTGATTTCTATTTGAGAAATTAGGTCTCTGGAAATTCTATAGCTTGAAGAGCAGGAAGAGATCCTTATGGGTGATCTTGATCTAATTTCTACACTGAGGAGTGATCACCAGTATTCATTCCATGTGAAAAATATATATGCTGTTCCCTTCTTTATTTTTTTTAAATGATTTCACAAGAAAAGTTATACCACAATTATTTTATTTTAAAACTGTATAGAAAATTTTTGAAATATGTAGACTAAATCTCATGCTGAAAGTTAAACTTGTTCAGTTCTGTCATATCAAGTGTAAGCATAGATAAGTATTATTCTTCATATAAAAATTCTTTCTAAACTTACATAACAACATCTTTTAACTGAATGGTTGCATTTTTATTCCAAAAACACTAAAAGCCTGCTGTGAGCCAGTTTTGCACCAATATGACTTGAGGACTTAGTTAAGGTTGTATCTGCCAGGTTGCTTCACTGTTGTGTTATTTTTTTCCCTTTGTCACTTAAAATTACCTTGTGAAGGGAGATAGTTTTGAGTTTTTGCAAATGTCCTGTTTTTCATCATCCTCTTACCCAGTAATTTTACCATTCGTTGATGATTCTGGCTTCAGCAATTATTACTACAGTGTGTGCCAACTTGTGACTTTGTGTTTGTATCATTTTTTCAGTTAGAGGTTCTTAACTTGAGGTCTCTATTGTATACGGATAGCTGTGTGCATTTTATTCTGGAGAAGAGATATGACACTTACCAGGTTTTCAAGAGGCCTTTTTCCATCCATTACTACTTTTTTCAACTTAGGATCACAGCACCTATCTCCACAAAGAGTTTGGCACCACTAAAGTGACTTAGTCCACATCTCCATTAGGGTGGATGAAAGGATTCCTTTGTGTTTTCCTTCTGATCTCTCTATAGCTTATTCCACCTTTCCTCTGGGAAGGTGCAGTGTGTAACTGACCAAAGTCTCCTGGAGTAAAGAAAAGCAGATCTGCTGTGTCTGTTGTTGTCCTATGTTGTCAAGACTTTGTCTTCTCTGACCCACAGTTGGGAAACCACTAAATTTTGATTTACACATTTCTAGTTTTGTCTCTGAGAACATGTATTTTCATCTCTAGGAAGTGTTTGAAAGTTAAATACAGTCTGTTAAATACAGTCTGTTGTATAACTAAGATTGATAAAAAGTTTATTAGCTTCTTAAATACAATATTAACACAAGTTGTGATAACTTAATTTCTTTCTTTTTTTTTAGATTGAGATATAGCTGAGTTTCTTTTTATTAGCAGCTGGGAGTAAATAGTTTCTTATAAAAGAAAGCTTAATTGAGGCCTTAGCTGAAACATGAATTTTTATAAGTAGTTTATGTGTTATTTTTAATGTTCTGGAAGCCATTTCTATGGTTTTGCTCTTTTATCAACTAGCAAAAATAAGATTCTTTTTTTTTTTTTTTTGGTTTTTTAGGAGCCACTAAGTCACTTCTGTCCATGCATTTTAAAAAATAAAGCTGCTATCACAAGATGGTCAGGTTTATTCATGATTTGATCTTACTCTTAGGATGAGTCTTAATTGTAGTTTTCATAGAAGTTTATTTTTATGATAGTACATAGATATTTGAAATGAATTCTGTAATACAATGCAAAATTCAGCAGCTTATTAAAAGGAGACTTGATTAAGCAGTGCCTGTTTTTTGTGTTCCCCTCCTCCCCAAGTTGGGAAGTCAGTGCTTTGCTATTTGAGAAATTTTTTGGATATTTAGTCTCTTAAAGAAAGTAGAGATAGTAGTTTTCCTCCCTTCATCTGAAGGATTGTTTGGAGGCTGATTTTTCAGATTGGTTGACAGCTAATTACTATAGGGAAAATTAAATTTTAAGCAAAGGGGATCAGTATAGAACACATTTTTCTAGTTAAGCAGTGTGGTATGTTTCAGCATAGGGGAAATCAAAACCAGTTCAGTGTTGCAAAAATATCACGTGTCAGGCAACTGGTATCAGGAAGTATTGGAACGATAATGCCATATTGTGATAGACATAAACACTATATTAAGGAGCTTGGACTTAGTGAGGAGAAGATCTGAGAGGTAAGAAGGTCCTGAACTAGAGGAGTGGTAGAAGGGATGAATTTCAGAAATACTAAAGTACATCATCATAAATTGGATGTAGGAGGTGAGATAGGAGTCTAGGACCTGTCATGGGAAAATAGTGCTCACACCATAAATAGAAAGATAAGAGAAAGAGAATATTTGGAGGAAAATCTGATGTGTTCAGTATTGTACAGTAGTGCTTCTAGAGTCTGGCTGGAGACATTCGTGTAATAGGACTCTATGATGGATGGCATTAATCCTAATCATGTTGTCCAGTACACAGCAGAAATGTCATTGAGATTTGCATTTTTTTTAAAACCAGATTTTCAAGGATTTTGACCAAAAAATAGATTTTTCTATCTTGTTCAGCATCTGTCAGTTAAAGAAGGATTTTTTTCCCCCCACGTCTTTCATACTTTATTTTTTTTTTAAATTATATTTTTCCTGTTTCTTTCCATTTGCAGTCAACTTTTTTGCCTCTTTTTCTCTATTTCTAATTTTCTTAAACTTGGAAAACTAGGAGTATGATTATGGTCAGTCTGCTATAGCCCAGTGGAAAACCTGACTCTTTTTCTGTTTTGGTAAATCTGTGATTTTTGTCTGTGTGGAACATGACACTAAATCTGAATGCATTGTGATGGTGACTCATTTAAAACCTTCCAGTCTCTGCGAGTTCTTACCTAGTTTATCTGATCTCCATAAGAATCTTGATAGAGCAGATTGTAATCTTCATTTTTTTCTAGTTAAGGAATCTGCTTCCTTGATTGCATTACTGATCCAAAAATAGCTGTTAGTTTTCTGTTTCATTGGGGATATATCTAAAATGTTACAGCTGAAAGGAGCCTTAGAGACCACTGCTTCTAAACTCTTCATTTTACAAATGGGGAAACAGGCCTCAAGAGAGAAAAATCACTTGGTCCAGATCCTATTGGTGGAATAAGCAAAACCAAGATCTGGAGCCCAGCTTTTCGGACTCCTGGTCCCTATAATAAGGAGGCCTAGTTTCATCTGCATTACTCAACAAGTAAAATCAGGCTACGCTCCACTATGTTTGATGGTCTCCTGTTGCTTTTGTCTCTTGGAAATAGTGTGCAGTTCGTGCAGCTACAGAAGGTAGGACACTCATCCTGGAAGGCTTGGAAAAGGCGGAGAGGAATGTTCTGCCGGTTTTGAACAACTTGCTGGAGAACAGGGAGATGCAGCTTGAGGATGGACGCTTCCTGATGTCTGCCGAGCGTTACGACAAACTTCTCCAGGTAAGAAAAGAAACACGTCACCGCTGCGTCTGAGCTGTGAGCCGTGGGCCGTGCCATCTGTGGTGTAAGGCATGATCGTGTGAGCACAGGGACAGTTGTTCAGGGGGCGGCTGTCTTGGGCAGTTGGCTGAAGCCAGTTGTGTGTTTGCAGTTTTGTATGGCTCTTCTGTTTGCAGACCATGTGAGAGGACTTCCCAGAGTTTTACTTTGTCTCTCTAGTCCCTATTTTTCTATTTTTTTTCTTCTTTTAATTCTTTCCTTTCCCCTCCTTTTCTATCTCCCTCTTTCCTTCTCTTCCTTCCCTCAACAAGCCTAATAACTTCTAGACTGTGCTAGGCACCTGGAAGACAGAATTGAGTAAAATCCACTAGTTGGTTCAAGAAGCTTGAAGTCCAGTAGATATGGACAGAAACGAACGAAATATTGAAAGATACCCTGAAGGTCCAAGCTACTGGCATCTCATGCCTGAGCTGTTGTAACAGCTTTGTCTCTGGACCCCCTGCTTCCCTCCCGGCTCCCCCAGAGCGTCAGTGGTCAGTTTAACACAAGGCAGAACAGGTCATTCCTCTGCTGTAAACCTCCAGCGCCTTTCTGCTCTACTCAGAATAAAATCTAAAGTCCTTACAGTGGAATACAGGATATCTGGTGATCTGAGCCATCACTGCCTCTTTGGCCTTATCTCCTTCTTTCCTTCTCCCCTTTCATTCCACTCCACCTGCCAGCATGCTCTTTACCATTAACTACTCGAAATGCATTCTCCTGTCTTATCAGTGCTTTGCACAGGCACCTTGCTCTTCCGGAGTGGTTTTCTCCCAGACATCTGCCAGACTCATTCCTCTACCTCTTTCAAGTCTTTGCTCAAATGTAACACAGGCATGCCTTTTTACATTGCGCTTTGCTCTAGTGCTGCTTCGCAGATATGGCCTTACTTACAAATCAAAGGTTGGGGCAACTCTGCATCACACAAACCAGTGGGCACCATTTCTCTAACAGAGGTCACCACTTCATGGCATTTGGTAATTCTAACAACATTTCGAGCTTTCTCATTGGCACTTGTTATGGTAATTTGTGATCACTGATCTTTGATGTGCAGTTATTTTGGGGTTCCTCAAACCAAACCCATATAAGATGGTGAACTTCATCAGTAAATGTGTGTGTTCTGACTGCTCCACACATCAGCTGCTCATCCCCCAATCTCTGTCCCTCTTCGCAGGCCTCCCTGTTCCCTAAGACATAACAACAGCATTGAAATTAGGCCAGTTAATAATCCTACAGTGTTCAAGTGGCCTCTAAGTGTTCAAGTGAAAGGAGAAGTCACTTGTCTCTCACGTTAAATCACAAGCTAGAAATGATGACGCTTACCGAGGAAGGCATGTTGGAACCTGAGATACACCAAAAACTAGGCTTCTTACGCTAAACCATTAGCCAAGTTTTTCATGCAAAGGAAGAGTTCTTGCAGGAAAGTAAAAATGCTACTGCAGGGAACACACAAATGGTAAGAAAGAGAAACAGCCCTATTTTGCTGAAGAAAGTTTTAGTAGTCTGGATAGAAGATGAAACCAGCCACACATTCCCTTAAGTTGATGCCTAAATCAGAGCAAGGCCCTAACTCTCTTCAATTCTCTTAAGTCTGAGGGATGTGAGGAAGCTACAGAAGAAGAGTTTGAAGTTAACAGAGGTTGGTTCCTGAGGTTTAAGGAAAGAAGCCGTGTCCATAATTTAAAAGTGCAAGGTGAAGCCCGAGTGCTGATATAGAAACTGTGGTAAGTTATTCGTAAGATCAAGCTCAGATCAGTAATGAAGGTGGCTACACTGAACATCAGAGTTTCTATGCAGGTGAAACAGCCTTCTACTGGAAGAAGATGCCATCTAGAACTTTTATAGCTAGAGAGGAGGAGTCGATGTCTGCCTTTAGAGCTTCAAAGGACATGCTGACTCTCTTGTTAGGGGCTAATGCAGCTAGTGACTGTAAGTGGAAGCTAGTGTCCTTTGCCATTTTGAAAATCGTAGGGCCTCTAAAAATTATGCTGCATCTAATCTACCTGGGCTCTACAAATGGAACAACAAAGCCTGGATGACAGCAAATCTGTTTACAGCATGGTTTATTGTTAAGCTCACTGTTGAGTACTTCTCAGAAAAAAAAATAGCTTTCAGAATATTACTCTTCATAGACAATGCACCTGGTTGTCCAAGAGCTCTGATGGAGATGTACAATGAAATTCAGGTGCACAGCATTCGGTCTGCAGCCCATGGGTCAAGGAGTAATTCGACTTTCACGTTTTATTTTTTAAGAAATGCATTTTGTAAGGCTCTAGCTGCCACAGTAACTCCTCTGACAGATCTGGGCAAAGTAAATTGAAAACCTTCTGGAAAGGATTTGCTATTACAGATGCCATATTAAGGAGACACTTATGGTTCATAGTGAACCTGACATAGTGAACACAGCTGACTGACTGAACTGACTGATGGTTCATAGGAAGAGGTCAAAATATCAAGATTAATAGGAGATTGGAAGGGGTCTTCCCTGACAGTCCAGTGGCTGGGACTCTGCACTCCCAGGGCAAGGGAATGTGGGTTTGATCCCTGGTCGGGGAACTGGATTCCACGTGCCATAATGGGATCCTGCCTGTCACAAGTGAAAGATCCCACGTGCTTCAGCTAAGACCCAGTGCAGCCAAATGAATGAATGAATGAATCCATAAATATTTTTCAAAAGAAGAAGAAAATGGAAAAACTCCCAGTAGTTTGATAAAAACAAACAAACAAACTTGATTCCGACTCTCATGGATGACTTTGAGAGGGTCAGGACTTCAGGGAAAGAAGTAACTGCAGACATGATAGAAAGAACAAGAAAACCAGAATTAGAAGTAGACCGTAAAGATGTGACTGAATTGTTGTAGTCTTATGATAAAACTTTTAACAGATAGAGGAGTTGCTGCTTATGGATGAGCAAAGAAAATGGTTTCTTGAGATGGCATCTACTCCTGGTGAAGATGCCGTGAAAGTTGTTGAAATGATAACATAGGATTTAGAATTTCGAACATAAACCTAGTTGATAAAGCTGAAACAGAGTTTGAGAGGACTGACTCCAAATTGGAAAGTTCTACCGTGGGTAAAATACTGTGAAACAGCATCTTGTGCTATGGAGAAATTGTTCATGAAATGGTCAGTTGATGCAGCAGACTTCATTGTGGCCTTTTGTTGTTGTTGCTCAGTTGCTCAGTTGTGTCCGACTCTGCAACCCCATGGATTGCAGCTCTCCAGGCTTCCCTGTCCTTTGCCGTCTCCTGGAGCTTGCTTAAACTCATGTCCATTGAGTTGGTGATGCCATCCAACCATCTCATCCTCTGTTGTCCCTTTCTCCTCCTGCCTTCAATCTTTCCCAGCATCAGGGTCTTTTCTAATGAGTCAGCTGTTCGCATCGGGTAGCCAAAGTGTTGGAGCTTCAGCTTCAGTCCTTCCATTGAATAGTCAGGGTTGATTTTCTTTAGGATTGACTGGTTTGATCTCTGTGCAGTCCAAGGGACTCTCAAGAGTCTTCTCCAACACCACAGTTCAAAAGCATCAGTTCTTTGGTTCTCAGCCTTCTATATGGTCCAACTCTCACATCCATATGTGTCTGCTGGAAAAACCGTAGCTTTGACTATACAAATCTTTGTTGGCAAAGGGTTTTAGGGAATTGCCACAGCCACCCCAGCCGTCAGCAACCACTCTCCTAATCAGTCAGCAGCCTTCAACGTTTAGACAAGATCCTCTACCAGCAAAAAGGCTACTATTCACTGAAGTCTCAGAAGATGGTTAGCATTTGTTAGCAATGAAGTATTTTTAAATTAAGGTATGTGCATTTTTTAGATGTAATGCTATTGCGTGCTTAATAGACTACAGTGTAGTATAAACATGACTTTTGTATGAACTGGAGAACCAAGGAATTTGTGTGTCTCACTTCATTGCAATATGTACTTTATTGTGGTGGTCTGGAACTGTACCTGCAACATCTCCGAGTTCTGCCTGTATTATCAGGGAAGACTGCCCTCACCTGTTTATTGAATGTTGTGACATGCCTTCTGCCCCATACTCCCTTACTCTGCTTTTTTCCACAGAGTTGTCTAATATCCTACTTGATTTACTTACTTATGGTTTTAGTTCACTGTCTGCCTCCCTCCGTGTGTGTGTGTGTGTGTTAAGTCGCTTCAGTCGTGTCCAACTTGGTGCAGTCCCATGGACTGTAGCCTGCTAGGCTCTTCTGTCCGTGGGATTCTCCAGTAAAGAATACTGGAGTGGGTTGCCATGCCCTTCTCTTGGGGATCTTCCCGACCCAGGGGTCCAACCTGGGTCTTCTGCACTGTAGGCAGATTCTTTGCCCTCTGCTTCCCTCTACTAGATTACAACTTTCACTAGGTCAGGAATTTTGTCACTGTTATTATCCCAAACTTCAGAACAGTGTCAGGCATGTATTAGGTGCTCAGTGACTCTGGTAACAATTAAGTGTAGAGAAGTCTTTAAATGTGATACAAAAAGGCATAAAGAGGGCAACAGCAAGGGACCGGGGTGGTGGGGTTGGAGGTGGCTCTTCAAAGGCTGAAGAACAGTGAAGAGAGTCAGTGGGAAGTGAAGAACAGTGGGCGAGTCAGGCAGAGAAGGAAGATGTGACGTTTAACAGGTGGCTGCTGTGGGGCAGTTACTTGTATAGGCATGATCACATTTAACTTTCGTAACAGCTGTAATAACATCAGTGATATTATTTCCTCTTTACAGATGAGAAAATTGAGACTTAGAGGGTCTAATAGCAGGCTTTTGGTCACTTAGCTAGAATGTGCACTGGAGTCAGCATTTGTGACTCCAAGGTCACATGTTTCCTTTTGTTTCTGGTCTCAGCCCTACCATATCCTAGTTGCAGGAATGTGGGCAAGTTATGTAACTCCTTTGAACCTCAGGAATTGTGTCTATTTGGATTCTGGTGAAATTAAATGAGAAAAATTCATGGAAAGTGCTTACCGTTTTTAAGAAATGTTACTTATTACTATTTCTATAGCTTGGTAGAAATACATCCGTAAGCACATTTATCTGTTGGAAGTCCCGGACAGTCTGCCCTGCTGGTGGTCTGCCCTTGTAGAACTACTGTGTGTTGACTTCTAGCTGGAATCAGTTTATTTTTCTTGCTCTCCTGACTGTTCCTCTCTGTTGACCAAGTAGAGCTTAGAGATCTGATCCATATCGCCTTTGTGCCTCAATGCATTTGCCGCTTCTCCTTTCAAATACCAGTCTTCATTTTGCAAGCCTTCCCTGGTACCCTCTTCCTGATTCCACTTTTCTCCCATCCTTGGCAGTGTGGCTTCGAGAAGGTTCTGCAGTACAGTTTACTCAGCAGTCAGGGCCTCAGTCCCTCAGCTTGGCTCCTGCAGGGGTGGTCTGTATGCCATGCGGTAATAACTTGTGCTTTCTTCCTCTTTTAGGATCATACCAAAACAGAACTGGATGCCTGGAAGATTGTCCGAGTTAGTGAAAACTTCCGAGTCATTGCCTTGGGCTTGCCAGTGCCCAGGTACTCTGGGAATCCATTAGATCCCCCACTCCGGTCTCGATTTCAAGCCAGAGATATTTATTATCTGCCCTTCAAGGTAAGTAGGAACAGGGATAATTTATTTTTAAATTTTTACTTAATTTTAATTGAAGTATAATTTATTTGCAATATTATATTAGTTTCAGGTGTTCATCTCAGTGATTCAGTATTTTCATAGATTATACTTCATTAAAGTTATTATAGAATATTGGCTATGTTCTTTGTGGGCGTCCCTGATAGCTCAGATGATACAGAATCCGCCTGCAGTGCAGGAGACCCGGTTTGATTCCTGGGTCAGTAAGATCCCCTGGAGAAGGGATAGGTTACCCACTCCAGTATTCTTGGGCTTCCCTGGCGGCTCAGACGGTAAAGAACCCACATTCCTTGTGCTTGTAGCTTATTTGTTTTATACACAGTAGTTTGTACCTCTCCATTCCCTCCCCTGTCTCGCCCCTCTCTCCTTAAGGGTGGCTTGTTTTTAAAACATCTCTCCTGTTTATAATAGGTTCAGTTACTATAAAAATGTTACTGTGTTTGTAGTTGTCCCCTTCAGTAGTTACTGGAAAGTAAAATGGACACAAAGGTAAAGAAAATCTCTGAAAACTAGGAAGAAAGAGTTACTTTTCTTTTAGAAAATGACACGTATCAGAAAATGATTTTTTGCTATTAATTTCTTAGTGTTTGCTTAATTAAAAGGTTGAATTATGTCTCTAAAGTACTTGCATTTAATATGTTACAGTCCTTATTAATCAATTTGATATGTCCCTGTGCTATTTTAGGACCAACTTAAACTGTTATATTCAGTTGGAGCCAATGTTCCTACTGAAAAGTAAGTATTTCAGATATACATATAGATAGATCTATATGTATATATATATGTGCTAGCTATTCATACATAAATCAATATTTATAACATATTAACATAATAATTTATAACATTAACATATGCTATATGAAACATGTTATATTAAACATAACATGTTTATATATAAAATATATAAAAATATATACATATTTATATATGTATTTTTTTATATATATGTACACATATATTTATACATATAAATATGTATATTTGTGTGTATAAATAGATAGCTTATATATATATATATAAAATCTGGATTCTTAACATTGAACTTGTTTTGCCCATTCATTGATCAACTCATTCATTCATTCAGCAACCATTTGAAGAGCTTTTCAGTAGCTGTGGTACATGTGCTAATGATAAAGTTAATAATAAGACATGAATTTTGATGACAAGAATTTCAAGATCCAGTAGAGTTTAAAGATATGTGTATAGATAGTTTTTTTTTTGACATAGTGTGGTTAGGGCCACAATTTCGAAGTGCTGGGGAATGCTGTGGTTGGAACTGTACAGGGTCTTTGCAAAGGCATTGGCATTTCACATCGATCTTAAAGGATGAGTAGGCTTTTGACTGATAGAGAATGGAACCAAAGAAGTCTAAGAAATTTTTTAAAGGCATGGGTTATGAGTGTGTATGCTTTATTCTTGAAAATATGAAAAGCTCCTAGTGGCTAAAGTGTGGATTTGGACTGAGAAAGGTAGGAGGTGAGACTGACAGGGTAGTTTTGGGTCGGGTTGTATAAAACCTCACATATTGTGATGGATTTAAGAGATTAGGTACACTTACCTGTACCTAATAAGCTTCTGAGTTTTAAATGAAATATAATGTGGAGCTGTTGTTCTTTAAGAATTTAATAGTAGATGTCAACTTTTTAGATTAATTAAATTGGCCCAGCTATTTTGTATTTAACAGATTTTATATACTGAAACTATTAGAAGAAAATTTAATGCCACTTCTTTTTTTCCCCTAGAGTTTCTCAGCTCTTATCCTTTGCCACCACTCTCTGTTCCCAAGAATCTTCTACCCTTGGACTTCCTGATTTTCCTTTAGATAGTTTACCAGCTGCAGTTCAAATCCTGGTATGTATCAAGTAATTTAATGACTGGTATATCCAAATGTGGCAAGGAAAATGTAAAAGTTAATCCTTGGAGATTAATCATCTGTGTTTGCCTTGTCATAATTCATCTATAAATACTCCAAGGCCTGAGTGTAATTCGCTGTGCAGCCCAGCAGACTGTACAGAGAGCCGCGATGTGTTCTGAGCCCCTAAAGAGCGCACAGCCTTGGGGTGGGGCGGGAGGCAGACTCCCAGGTGTAAGCTGGACACAGGGAAGGAGTGTTCCACCCGATCACGCAGAGGTCAGCTGCACACTGCCTTGGGCCTCAGACTGGCTTCACCCTGAGGCAGGCGAGTGAGGGCTTTCCCACTCCAGCACCGTCAGTCACCGGTTCGTGTTGTCCCTGGGGCCGCGTGTTCCCAGGCACTCACTGGTCTCCCACCCGGAACTCGAGGGCAGTCTTCTTCCAGAGACCTGCAGCCGCTGGTTGCTGGAAGGGCAAGCAGGAGGCAGAGGAAGGAGGACCCGGCTGGGGGGTTTGGTGGAGCGTAGGCCTCCTCCCCCGCGCCTTCAAGGTCATGACGGCGGCATCTGGAGCAATGGGAAGGCAGCGGGCACAGCCCGGGCGGAGGTGCTGGTTCACCAGAGGGCTTGGTGTGTTTGGAGAATGGTAATAAATTGTGTCACTAGAGCAACCGTGTGTGGTGAACAGAAACGCAAGGACCTTGTTGTCACGGCAAGTGTTTTGCATGGTGAGTGCAGTTGTCTGGATTTTACGATGTGGAAGAAGTGGCCTGTTAGACATTATTGAGTAGATGGGATGTGCGACAGTTAGGTATCTGTAGGAGGAAGGCACCTCTGTTGGCAGCAAGGTGGGGTGGGGATGCGTGGGATGCACAGGAACACTGAAACAAGAGACTTATTTTTAATCTCATGTTGCTTCTTATTTTTCTCTTCTCCTGAGAGCCAGTGAGTTAGGTTTCCCATGAGTCGTTTACACTGTTCTCAACACCTGGGGGGCCTTGCACGTGGCACTAGTGATAAAGAACAGCCTGCCTGCCAATGCAGGAGAAGCAAGAGATGCTGGTTTGATCTCTGGGTCAGGAAGGTCCCCTGGAGGAGGGCGTGGCAGCCCACTCCAGTATTCTTGCCTGGAGACTCCATGGACAGAGGATCTTGGCTGGCTACAGTTTATAGGGTCGCAGTGAGTCAGGCATGACTGAAGTGACTTTGCACACGCATGCATACCAACATTTGGAGCAGCATTTTCCCTCCATATTTATCATGTCCTCTACTTTTCATTCTTATTGTTTTTTCCCTTGGAACTTTTTGCTTTGACAAGTCTCAAATCCAAAAAAAAAAAGTTCAAAAATAGCCAAACATGAAACTATAATCCCACTAAGTAGAATCACCAATTTTTAACATTATTACCACTTTTGTTTGCACTTCCTCTTTTTACCTAAACAATTCTGAAAGTAAATTGCAGTTAGTATTCTTAACTACTTCAGTATGCAGTTCTCAGAATTAGAACATTCTTCTATTAATAACCAGGACACTTATTATCACATCCCTCTGCATATCAATAATAATTCCGTAATGTCATCTGATAGGCACTTTATATTGAAATTTCTCTCATTGTCCTAATTAAACAGACTTTTTAAAGTAAGTAAACCCATTTGGGAAAGCAGTTTGGGGCGAAAAATTTGAGGATAGAAAACACTTTCTGACTTTGTAGTTAGAACAGTGACTTATATGGGCTTCCCAGGTGGCGCTAGTGGTAAAGAACCTGTCTGCTGATGCAAGAGACAAAGGAGATGTAGGTCCAATCCCTGGGTCGGGAAGATCCCCTGGAGAAGGGAATGGCAACCCACTCCAGTATTCTTGCCTGGAGAATCGCATGGACAGAGGAACATGGTAGGCTACAGTCCATGGGGTCGAAAAGAGTCGGACACAAGTGAAGCGACGGAGCATGAACACTTTGTAGTTACAACAGTGAAGCCAGGAGTATGTGGATGAGGTCCACCCAGGTTAGGAGTAAGGGAAAAAGAGAAGGTACTGTGGGATGAGTGGGGTAGAGAAATGTGTCAAACATGTAATTTTCGGACATGCTGAATGGGAGTCTGTGGGACACCCATATAGTCACATCTCACAGACAAGTGAGAGTTTAGATCTAGAGCTCAAGAGATTTGTCACGAGTAGAGATGGAGACACACATACAGCAGCTGAAAGATGAGAGTGGGTGAGTTTACCAAGGGAAAGGGTGCAGATCAGGAAGAGAAGAGGAAACTATGAATATTTGCTTTTGTAGACTTCTGGAGAATATGAGAAACTTACTGGTTATCGTTTATGATGCAATTTCAATGTCACAGGTACATTTCAGCTAAATTTTTGTGATGATTGTAGATGTTCTTCATTCCCACGTATTTTCCCTCCCAAATAGGATTCCTTTCCTATGATGTCAATCCAACATGCAGTCCAGTGGCTTTACCCGTACACTGTTTTACTGGGACATGAAGGGAAGATGGCTGTGGAAGGGGTTTTAAAAGTAAGTGTCTGCTTCACTTTCTTTCCTTACCTTTCCCATATTCTCTTCTTGGGCCTTCTTTTCCCTTCTTCTTATCTCTCTATCACCCTTTCCCCCTTCTTTTCTCTCTCCTTCTTTCTTTCTTTCCTGTGTCTTTTCTTCTTCTCTTTTCCAGACGTGCAGGTACTGGCATGACAGTAATGGGGGGTAAATATTCCTTCTGCATTAATTAGCAGGCAATCTACGCTAAGGAAGAGCTTTTCTTCTCCCTGACATACTTATTTATCCATTTATATCAATATGGACTTATGGATCCCTATTTTATTCAGTGGGTTATAATTTACTATCATTATTTATTTTCATGCTAGCATTATCTCAGGTTTTGGCCACTTCAAGTTAATCTTTGGTAGAGTCATTGACTCACCTCAGATAATCCCCTTTTATGAAGGATGTTTTTGTTTTTCTGACATAGTTTGACTCAAGGCATATAGATTTCTAAGAAGCACATGGAATGTGAACACTTGGCAGTTGTGGTCATGTGTACACGCCCCAGGATTGGACATATGGAATGGTATATGGGGACTTCCCTAATGGTCCAGGGGTTAGGGCTTCACACCCCTAATGCAGGGAAGTAAGATACACACATGCTACACTGTGTGGCCAAAAAAAAAAAGAGAGATACTTGAATGGTGTTTATTATGCCTCATCCCAGAGCATACGCACGGTCTTTGGGAGTATGGAAGCACTCTCTGCTAAAAGAGAAGGTACTGTGGGATGAGTGGGGTAGAGAAATGTGTCAAACATGTAATTTTCGGACATGCTGAATGGGAGTCTGTGGGACACCCATATAGTCACATCTCACAGACAAGTGAGAGTTTAGATCTAGAGCTCAAGAGATTTGTCACGAGTAGAGATGGAGACACACATACAGCAGCTGAAAGATGAGAGTGGGTGAGTTTACCAAGGGAAAGGGTGCAGATCAGGAAGAGAAGAGGAAACTATGAATATTTGCTTTTGTAGACTTCTGGAGAATATGAGAAACTTACTGGTTATCGTTTATGATGCAATTTCAATGTCACAGGTACATTTCAGCTAAATTTTTGTGATGATTGTAGATGTTCTTCATTCCCACGTATTTTCCCTCCCAAATAGGATTCCTTTCCTATGATGTCAATCCAACATGCAGTCCAGTGGCTTTACCCGTACACTGTTTTACTGGGACATGAAGGGAAGATGGCTGTGGAAGGGGTTTTAAAAGTAAGTGTCTGCTTCACTTTCTTTCCTTACCTTTCCCATATTCTCTTCTTGGGCCTTCTTTTCCCTTCTTCTTATCTCTCTATCACCCTTTCCCCCTTCTTTTCTCTCTCCTTCTTTCTTTCTTTCCTGTGTCTTTTCTTCTTCTCTTTTCCAGACGTGCAGGTACTGGCATGACAGTAATGGGGGGTAAATATTCCTTCTGCATTAATTAGCAGGCACTCTACGCTAAGGAAGAGCTTTTCTTCTCCCTGACATACTTATTTATCCATTTATATCAATATGGACTTATGGATCCCTATTTTATTCAGTGGGTTATAATTTACTATCATTATTTATTTTCATGCTAGCATTATCTCAGGTTTTGGCCACTTCAAGTTAATCTTTGGTAGAGTCATTGACTCACCTCAGATAATCCCCTTTTATGAAGGATGTTTTTTTTTTTCTGACATAGTTTGACTCAAGGCATATAGATTTCTAAGAAGCACATGGAATGTGAACACTTGGCAGTTGTGGTCATGTGTACACGCCCCAGGATTGGACATATGGAATGGTATATGGGGACTTCCCTAATGGTCCAGGGGTTAGGGCTTCACACCCCTAATGCAGGGAAGTAAGATACACACATGCTACACTGTGTGGCCAAAAAAAAAAAGAGAGATACTTGAATGGTGTTTATTATGCCTCATCCCAGAGCATACGCACGGTCTTTGGGAGTATGGAAGCACTCTCTGCGGCTAGTGTTAGTGAGAAGGGCTCAGAAGAGTGGAGCAGAAGATTTTAATTACTTAAGTGGGATTTTATTTCGTATATCAGCTAGTCCAAGAAGTAGTGTTTTCATTGATTGGTGATGTCAATAATAACAAAATAAAAATAACAAAAAGCTGTTTCCTCATAAATGCTAAAATGTATAGTTATTAGCAGCAGAATCTAAAAGAAAAACAAAAAGAAGCAAGGGGAAAATCATGGTCAATAAAGAGAGAAAGGAAAGTGGAAGAGACAGAAGAGAAAGAAGCAGGCCTGAGGGTAGTGAAATAGCAGCCACTGATGAAAGGAAAGAAAGGGGTTTTCTGTGTGAGAAGGGGTGAGGGAGCGGGGATGGGAGGGGGCGGGGAATAGAAGGATGTTAAAGGAATAATGGAGAACCGTTTGGAAATGGTCAGGAAACTTCTAGTTTGACTATATAGCTCACTCTAAGATTTAGAGTTTTGTTTTTCTTGTTGGCTGCACGGGGTCCTCTTGCTTTTGCTCAGGCCCCTCTAGTTGTGGCGAGCAGGGGCTACTCTCTAGTCGCAGTGCGTGGTGGCTTCTCTCGTTGCCCAGCACAGGCTCCCGGGCACGTGGGCTTCAGGAGTCGCCCCCTGAGAGCCTAGGAGCCCTAGAGCTTCAGTCGTCGTGGTGCACAGGCTGAGTTGCTCCGCAGCACATGCAGTCTTCCCAGACCAGGGACCGAACCCGTGACCTCTGGAATGGCAGGCAGATTCTTAGCCACTGGGCCACCAGAGAAGTCCTAGAACTCCCCTTTGGTTTAATTAGCATCTGTGCTACCTTGGCATCAGTCACTGAAATAGCATACCTAATGTCTGAGAACAAGAGGCTGTGTTTCCAGGTGAGCTCCCAGCCTCACATAGCACAGAGTTCAGTGCTGTGGGAACAGGGGTACATGGAATAGAAGAGAATATCAGGGTTCTGATAAAATGGAGCAATGTGAGCTTTTGTGACACCAGCAAGAGAGGGCATTGATAAGTGTCTTGATCAGTCTGTTGTGAACAAAGGTCTTCATTTTTACAAAGGTATCAGTTTGATATGTTTCTGGTCTGTAATTTCAGAATTAGTCATACAAATTCTATAAAGTTATACCATGCCTTTAAAGAGTCGAGTTTTCTAAAGGAGATAGTCAGTGTTGCTTCATTTTGTTTGGCCTTTATTTGGACCTTTATAATTAAGGGGGACATAGAATACTGACTGAGAGTCCATATTACAAACGGAAGTGATTTCAAATCTGACTGTAGAATTTTAAAAAAAAAGGAAAAAGAGGAATTTTGTTACTTACATAAGAGGAGAAAAAGTGATTGTCTTTTCTTGCCTTAATTTTGTGAAGAATTATATATCTATTTTATTCCTCTATTTCATACTTTTTGATCAACAATCTTTAAATTTCCTGTGTCAGCAAATGGTAACTCACCTTGCAGCTTCAGTTCTTGAACTATTTTAGTGTATCCTAGGCTACTATTTTTATTCTATTGAAATATTTTAGATTGCATTATTTATGAGGATGTAACAAGTATAGCAAGTGTTCAAGGCATTAGTATTCCTTTCTGGAATATAAATGCTCTGACATCAACCCTATGTCAAGTTAAAACTGTCATTACTATGGCTGGAATAAAAGCATACCTTTAAATTCATAAATGTATTGTTTTAGAATTTTATGGGTCTGAGTTCCAGATTCTAATGAACATAATTACTTGGCTAAGGCTTTACTCCTTTTCTATTAAACTTCCCTTAAAATACAATGTAACTTTTTCTTTTTCTTTTTTTAATGAAATTAAGGAATCAATGATTGTTAATTGTCTATAACATGGATGCACTTCCTATCAAATTGTGTGACACCATGGTAATTTGCATATATAAATTGTGTAAAGTAGAAACCTTATGTTTTCTATGGTAGCACAAATAAACAGCTTTTCTTAGGATGGAGAAAGGAATGACTATCTTGAGTACTTAAGACATTGAAATGAGGACGTGAACTGGGCTGTTGTGTTTAAAATGTTGAAACTGATGATTATTTTCTTTCCCAGACTCTGTTTTCTAGTATTGAATCATTCTGTTGAATAGGCAATGATCTGTTCTTTCATTGGGTTTCCACTCTTTTGCTGTAGTGATCATGTTCTATAAGTATTGTAGGATTTGTGGGGAATAATTTCTGCCTGTTTTATGCTAAAAATGAATTAAGCCTTTCACATTGAACATGCTGCTGTTAGATGGGTATTTAGTAAATTTTAGGGACTATTTTCAGGTCACCATTAGTAATTGGCTTAAGTAGAATGAAGAATGGTATCTGCAAAAATAGGGGGAAAATATTCTCATTAGTTTTTTTGCCTTTATTTTTGTAATATTGGATGAGTTTTAGTTCTAATTAAGATGGACATGTCCAGATATCCAACATTAGTACTAAAATAAAAAGTAAATTATATGTTTTTCTGGTCATTTTATAGCGCTTTGAACTCGAGGATTCAAGAAGGTCTATGCTTCCTGAGGAGATTGTGAGAGTGGAAAGGACAACTGAAAACAATGTCTTCCAAGCTTCTGTGACCATCCGGATTGCAGAAAAAGAGGTGACCATCAAGGTAATGAATGAATCAAGGTTTGTACTTTCTAAGGTTGCCTGTATTAACAATACAGGTTCTGGTTAGTACTAGACATTTTTTTTTAACCTAAATTGAGTTTATAATCTGTTCATAAGTCTTTGGTTCCGTAGTGTCACATATATATGTCTGTATCTGTGTATTTATGTATCCAGTCATGTATATTTGTAAACTGGAAAAGTTCAGGAGAAACATAGAGATAGCTTTTCATCAAAAACCAGTCAGCCTCTGGGAAATCAAATACAGTGTTTATTAATGAAAGCATTTTGTGTTCTAAGTCCCTGATAGGAAATAGTTTGAAAATATGTTTCCAAACATATTTTAGCAACTAAAGATTTAGTAGCTAAGGATTGAGACCCCAAGGACTGTAGCCCACATGACTTCTCTGTCCCTGGAGTTCTCCAGACAAGAGTACTGGAGTGGGTAGCCATGCCCTTCTCCAGGGGATCTTCCTGACCCAGGGATTGAACCCGGGTCTCCTGCATTGCAAATGGATTCTTTACTGTCTTAGGTACCAGGGAGGCCCAGAACTAAGGATTACCCAAAAATAAAATATCTGTCGGCTACAGGAAGCGGTTGAAAGAAGAGCTGTTGTAGGTGAACAATTTTTAGAGGAGGGAATGGTATTTGGTCACAGAGCTCCATCTGCTTTCTCTGCCTGCTTTTTTCTAAGCCTTTCTTTGAGGGTCCTGAGCATCCCAAGAGTTGCTAGGAAACTGACACTAGAATACACAGCTTAAAAAATATTGACTTAATTAAATTGTAAGTGAATGTAGGAAAGCGTAAATGCTTGCCGTCTTATGTTAGGACAGAGCAAATTTTCATGATAGACTTTTTTGTTTGTTTTAATGTAATATTAATAATATTGGGTTGGTAAAAAAGTTTGTCCAGGTTTTTCCATAAGATGGTGCAGAAAAACCTGGGCAAAGTTTTTGGCCAACCCAGTACTTATTCATGTAATTGTATTTATTCAGTCATCAAACAAAATCCTGACTATGTCTACCACGAGCTGGGCTCTGTTTGGGAATCACTGAGTGCCTGCAGTGCACAGCACTTTAATCAGGAGGAGGTAGGAAATAACAGGCAGTGTGTGTGAAGGGTGGGAGGGGGGTTTAAGAACAGCTGCTCTGAGTGGTAAACTGAAACTAAAACTGGGACAAGATTTGTGGATAGTTTAGAAATCAGGAGGTCTTTGGTGATTTTGGAGAATCCCAGTTGGCTGATTTTAAATTCTGTCCTTAAAACTGAAATTTGAGCAAAAACCTTCGTTCTCAAGCAGTGCATTGTTATTATGAGTTATAAATAGCGTGAAAATTACTTGATTCTCATGAAAATGTCTGACAGCATGGGCTTTAATTTTAGAGGGATTATTGACTTGGAAGTTTGATAAAAATGATCATCAGATCTGTGCTTGAGAAAATTGCTACTCTACTGAACTATCTAAAACAGTATATAATTGAATTGAGCAGGAAATTAGTCGAAATTTTAAATGGCACTTGTATGCTTTCATTTACTAATATTTTGAGAAAAATATATGCATATTACATTTACCTCTTTTTAATTATAGGTACCAGCTGGGACTAGGCCATTAAGTCAACCCTGTACATCAGACTGTTTTATACAGACCTTGAGCCATAAACAACTACTGGCTGAAATGATGCAGTCTCACATGGTTAAGGACATATGTTTAATTGGAGGAAAAGTAAGACTGGCAGCCTTACTGCAAACTTCTGTTTCCTGACTTTGGATTGTTTTGACTTATCCCTTAAATGATTGTGTCCATTTGTAGGGTTGTGGAAAAACAGTCATTGCTAAGAACTTTGCAGATACCTTGGGATACAATATAGAACCTATCATGCTATATCAGGTAAGCTGTTCATTTTTAGTACTTGGACTATAAACGTATACTTTTGGACCATCAGTAGAATTTATGGATATCCTTCTTTAAGTTGGACCTGTTAATTTTGAAGTTGATAAATAACTGAAACAGCTATCAAACTGGAATGCAATTATAATTATTTGGAATTTTTGAAAGTGTATTCTAGGATATCTGATGTGCCCAAAATAACCAGGGTCTGTTTTTCAAAAGAGATCCATTTTATACACATGTGTACACACAGTACAGTTAACAGTAACTTGGATATACAGTTTCCCAGCATGATTTGTTGAGAAGACTGTCTTTTCCCCTGTAGTAGGATAGTCTTGGCATTGTTGTAAAAAATCAAGTGACCGTACATGTGCCTGTAAGTTTCTGGGCTCCCTGTTCTACTCCACTGGTTTATATGTCTGTCCTTATGGGGAGGGGGAGTACATTTTTTTTGCTTAATTCATGGAAGATGAAATGAATACCTTGCCTTCTTAGAAAATCACTCCTCTTGATGATGGTTAGCTCAATGTGAAAATTCATTAGAAGTGACCTGAGAATGGCGTTTTATCATAATCTGCCTGTAGTGTGGGGCACCTGAGTGTGATCCCTGCATTGGCAAGATCCCCTAGAGAAGGGAATGGCAACCCATTCCAGTATTCTTGCCTGGAAAATTCCATGGGCAGAGGAAACTGGCAGGCAATCCATGGGATTGCTAAGGGTTAGACACGATTGAGTGAATAACACTTTCAGTTTTCACCAGCCTAGTTTCTAGTTTCAAGTGAAAATACTTTCCTACCAAATAATGGGGAGAAAAAAAACCCTGAATCATCAATATATTTATAAAACAAGTTAAATTTTATTATAAATATTTTATATTCTATTTATAAGTCTAGGATAAATACAGGCATAATTTACCTTCCCAGCTGCCATTGCTTTGACATCAGACAGAGAAGACCTTTTGTGAAGATATTATTTCTTTTCTCTTTGACCCCACCCCCATTTATTAGTGGTATTATTTCTAAAATTGTACACATTATTGTTTCTCTTACATTAAAATAAAAACTCCCATTCTAATGAAAGCTGGAAAGAGTTTTTGCCTCATCTGTTTATTCCAGACAGTTCTGATTCTGTATCAGATTTCTATAGTCAGTTTATGGTGATGTGTACATTGCAGTGACAGATTATCCTATGAGCATATGCTTGAACTGTGAAGATTATAGTGACCTCATCCTACTCTCTATTAAAAGAAGAACCAAACAAGGGAATACGTATCTATTTGTCAATTTAGATCTCTCAACTACACTGAAAAACTACCTAAAGAATCTTGCCGTTGAGAATGTTATTCTTACGTGAGAAAGAATTAGTTTAAGAGGCCGAGAACAGATTTTCTTATGTATTTTTGAAGAGTACCAGTAAGTTCACAAAAGTTTTCTTTTAATTTTTTTAACTTTCCTCTTGAATTTGTTGATTGATAAACAAAGGTAAGAAAATTATAGTATTAAAGTTGATGGCAGACCATTCTATTACCTGATACTCCTCTGAGATATGAAGTCAGTCTTTTCTAGTTCCTGCCATGAGAGAAGGTCATTTAGTCATATCTTATTAATCTTCTATCTGAAAAACAGCAGTGATGATATTCAAAAGGCACATAAGATTCCCATAAAAATATTTTGCCCAACCTCAGCATATACACTGTCTACATTGTAGATGGCCTGCAAGGATTGGGAAAACTGGTGCAGAGATAAAGAAACATCATATATTCTGAAAATCCATTTTCCAATTTTGCTCTTCTGCTCACTAATCTTTAGAGCAATGACTGGGAGAAAAAATTGGTTTTAGCAAGATATGAAGAAGTATAATATTGACAACCTGTTTTGTAGGTGAGTTTGTCTGTCTGCCTCTTCATATGGCTCCTTTCCATGAACTGAATCAGAGCGTATATCAGGCCCTATATTGACATTGGCAGGTTTTATAAACTTTTACTCAGTTGGTCTCCTGATAGAAACCAAGCCCCTGAGATTAAATGTGACTTTCTGCTTGCAGTTTCATGTTTATTAGTAGTGTTCATTGATTTATTTGGAACAGAGGAATTAATTTAATAGAATTCAAGATTATATTTTGGTTTTATAATAATATAGCCCATATTAATGCAAAATTTTCAGAAGTTTGACCCAACATAGAGAATTTAGTGGGAATAAGTAACTCGGCATCCATTTTCCTAGATGTAGAGATTTCCCTGTTAATTGTACATGTATAAAGCTACACTTAATCTGTGGGTTTTGCCTTATTTTTAGACTTGACTATTTTTAGAACTGGATTTCATATGAAGAAAAAGAAAAACAGAGCCTTAGCACAGATTTGTGGCAGTACATAAAATAAGTTTTATAATAGGTTATAAAAATCTTAAATCATTTGGCTCAAGTGTTAGGTCAGATTCTTTTAACTGGTTATTCTTTTTTTAGTGTTGAAGCCAGTGATTTCATAGTATTGAAGAAATACAGGTTATTATTCTTTTCTTTCACAACCAGATAAGGGCAGGCTTCCAGACGTCTTTTCACACCGATATAAACAGCACCAGATCTGTGATCTCTTTTTTTCTGTTTAAGTATTAGTTGGATTAAAAGCCAAGTCAACTCTGATCAAAAATTAAGGTCAAATAAGTTTAGGAGACTTATAATGAACTGGCTAAAATCACTGTCTAAAACATATTGAAGTCTTAGGATCATTTTCGACCCCCAAGTTTTTCTTTTCCTTCTAAACTCAAACGAAATCCTTTTCTTCATCTTCAGTCTAATTTACAGTCTCTCTTTCCTGTTTATCTAAATACAGAGTAGACATATCTTAACTTTTCTTCTCCCTCATTTGTTTTTACTGCCCTATGTCTTGGATTTATTTCCTTGCTTCTTGTCTTTGTCTTGAATTTGCACTTTTCTTCATTAAAATTCCAAGACTCTGTATTAATTTAAGTGGTTTATATTGAACCTTGGAGGCTGACTTTCTATATGATTCTGTAGATCATTTTGTTTTCTTAATTTATTTTCTTACAATCTATCATTCTTTCTGTCTCCTGAGTATTTTTTCTTTGTCCCTTAAGAATAACCTTCATAAAGCTAAGAATTTACTTGAACTGAATTCTTCAAATTTATTTTATTATAAAATGTATTTTAAAAATGTATGTCATCATGCAAATTCTACATCCTCTGAATTTTCAAATAGAAATTATAAACTAAAGGTAGTTCTCTTTTCATAGAGCTCTCCCTCATTTTTTTAATAGCCGTGTTTCATTCCATCATGGGTTATACCAGAGTTTACTCAACCTGTCTCCTGTATATGGACAATTGGGCTGTTTCCAGTATTTTGTAATTACAAACTAAGCTGCAATGAATAACCTTGTGCATATNTTGATAGGGATTGCATTGAATCTATAGATTGCTTTGGGTAGTATAGCCATTTTGACAATATTGATTCTTCCAATCCATGAACACGGTATATTTCTCCATCTGTTTGTGTCCTCTTTGATTTCTTACATCAGTGTTTTATAGTTTTCTATGTATAAGTCTTTTGTTTCTTTAGGTAGATATACTCCTAAGTATTTTATTCTTTTTGTATTATTTTTATAATCAAAACTTTGTAAAACGTATCTTAGACTCTCACTCTGATGGAGAAATCATTTCAAAAACTGAGTGTGGTGACACTTGTAGTAATTTATGTTAAGTTTTCAACTAGAACTAATTGGAGTGTTTATGTGATAGCATATAACTGCAAAGTCATATATTGAAAAGATAAGCTATTTGCTTGTTTAACTTGATAACCTTTTAAACTTATACGTTCTAAAAATGCAAAGTGTATCTTAAAGTTTAACTGTGCAGTATATGTTAATAAAGGTTCATCTTACTGTATTTGCATACATTTGCCATTTAAAAGGCCATAAGTTTTACATTCGCTTTTTTTAAAAAAAGTATCCAAACATGATATTCAGATCTTTTATAATTTTGAAAGTATGTACTGAACTCCTTATTGAATTGAAACAGTGTACATTTTAAGTAATGAACAACATCTTTTGTGTTGTCTTAACCAATTTAGTTATCATGAGGTATTTATTAGATTTATAAAAACACTCTAAGAGGCCTTTGGGCATGTGTATAAAAATAAACATTAAAGTAAAACCAAATCCATTAACCCAAGGAAGAAAACAAAAGTAACCAGAGAATCCTACCAAATAAGGAATTCCAGCCTGAAAGGTATTTCATTTACCATCCTTGGTGATCCCAAAACATAGGATCCATAAAGTTGAAGAGGGAAAGAATTTCAAATTTGAGGAATCTCTGTGGAATAGCTCCAAACTTAAGGACACAGTGTGATGAAGTCCCAGTACTGTTGGTAAGAACAAATTGTTATGCTTGACCGTCTCTATCAGTTAGGACATTTGTTCTAAATGTACTTTACAGTAATCTTGATTAGGGGTCTTAGGGCAATCTTTTAAGGGTCCTCAGGATTAAAGATTGCCCTGATAGAGACGGTCAAGCATAACAGTTTGTTCTTACCAACAGTACTGGGACTTCATCACACTGTGTCCTTAAGTTTGGAGCTATTCCACCGAGTAAGGAATAAGAGTTAAGAGTAAGGATTTGCTAGAGGTTAGTTAGTAAGAGTAAGGATTTGCTAAAANTCTTCCACATCCATATCACTTGTCCATTCAGTCAGTAATGCTGTCTAACCATGACATCCTCTGGCACCCCCTTCTCCTTTAGCCTTCGATCTTTCCAGCATTAGGGTCTTTTCCAATGAGTCGGCTCTCCCCGTCAGATGGCCAAAATATTGGAGCTTCAGCTTTAGCATCAGTTCTTCCAATGACTATTCCAATTCAACTTTGAATATACTTTTTAAAGGAAACCAATATTGATTTCCTTTAAGATTGACTGATTTGTTCTTCTTGCAGTCCAAGGGACTCTCAGGAGTCTTCTCCAACACCCCAATTTGAAAGCATATGTTTTGTAAAC